AGTCCTCAACGCTCTGTTTTTGGTCTAATTTTGTTTCTCGTTTATATTAACGATTTGCCTGTTTCCATTGGTGAAAATTCATGTTTGCTAATGGTATGACACTGGTCAACCCATGTCCAAAATTGAGCAATGACTGTGTACTGACTGCTAGAAATTGGTTCTCATCAAATCTATTAAAATTAAACAATACTAAGACACATAATTCGTTATTTACTTCTGATAAACAAACAAAAAGCTAGTGCCAAATTACTTGGAATTTATTTTGATACTAATGTCGTCGCAAATTTTTTGTATGAAGTTTCTTCGACATTCTCTCTCAGAAGATACTTTAGAACAGTGTATTTTGTTCATAGCCATTTAACTGATGGGATAATATTGTGGGGTAATTCTAATTCAATTAATAGAATTTTTGTTTTACATAATTCAGCCTTCAGCCTTGTCAACACTTATTCAGTCTGCCTTATATACAGAGTGTCCCACTAAGGTTGGTGAGGTACGATATTAGGGACAGTATAGGCCCTAGAACTTCAGGAAAAAAAAATGATTAATAAATCAACCAACAGAAATCGCTGGAAATAGTTTTCAAGTTCGCAATTCAGCCGCAATCTACATACAAAAACATAGAGCTGAATTTTTCTCAGAAATGTTTCCTATATATTAAATAGTACAAATATGGATAGCCGGATTTATTGCGCATTACTTTTGTTATTGACATTTTATGCTATCTCTCGATAGAAAGGATAGGGAAAGCCCCTAACGTCTGATCAGAAAAATGCATTTTTTTAAGGATTGACTTTTCAAAAACTCATTGTGTTATACCGCGTTGGAAAGGTCTTTTTATGCTTTATCATCCGCGGTGAATGCGTAAAGCCATTTACCTCAATATCGTACCCTATAGATGGCATCATTTCAAAAGATTGCCGTTTTACGAATTTTATAAAAGAACTTACATAAACCTGCGCAAATGAGTGAGTCAATAACGATCTTGAAAATAATAACAAAAACAATAACAAACAGATATTCATATTATGTAACAAACTAACAATTAAATTTTAACAAAAGTGAAGATGTTTATAATTGCTCGAAATGAATACCATTTTCAATACAGGAATTTAACATTCGATGCGTGCTTAGGTAGGTTCTTTTATAAACGCATTTTGTTTCGGTACTTAAATGTCTTTTCATTAGTGTCGTATTCCTCAATTCATTATCATTATTTATTTTTTACTCACTAATTTGCGAAAAACTTGATAACAAAAAAAGATATCGAACCCTTTTCGGCGTCAAAATGTTTATGCTCTTCAAACTAACGTATAAAAAGTTTTATCCTGCTATTTCACTTTTTTAAAAAATCGTGTAACAACCTAAAATTGGATAAATAAACAACACTTTTGTTATAAATTTCAAACTTATACTATAATCATCAATTTTTTGTGCTGAATTTTGTGCTCATTTATGTAAAGAAAACTGTAGCATTACATTTAAAATTTGTGGGATAAATACATAAAACGGCAAAATAACGCCATTTACAGGTTTCCATATTGAAGTAAATGACATGACGCATTCAACACGAGAATGAAAAGACCTTTCCAACAAGGTATAACACTGCGGGCTTTTGATGAGCCAATCCTTAAAAAAATACATTATTCTGATCAGACGTTAGGGGCTTTCCCCATCCTTTCTAGCGAAAGATAGAATAAAATGTCAGTAACAAAAGTTATGCGCAATGAATTCGGCTCTCCATATTTGTACTATTTAATATACCTGAATAGGAAATATTTCTGAAAAAAATTCAACTTTATGATTTGGTATGTAAATTGCGCCCTCCAGCGGCCGAGCTACGAACTTGAAAACTATTTCCTGTGATTTCTCTTGGTCGATTTATTAATCAAAATGTTTTTGCTGAAGCTCTAGGGCCTATACTTTCTCTAATATTGTACCTCACCGACCTTAGTGGGACACCCTGTATATACCTATTTTTGAAACGCTATTGCAAATATAAGTTTCCTAAACATTCTGATATTCACTAGTATCATCATCATCTTCATCATCTAGTGGTTGGTCCTTTAAAAGTCCCATAGCACTGCGGCCTAATTAGGCCTATTGTGCGTCCCACTACTAGTCCTATTCAGCAAGTAGATTTGTCCTTTTTACAAAGTCCAAAAGCTTCCTTGCTGACACTTCTCTCAGCTCCTTGGGTTCCAAATAGGGTCTCCCAAGGAGCGCCATTCTGCTACGTGCAAATCCCGGGCACTCGCCCAGGATATGCAGAGAAGTTTCATCCGCCGATTCACATCCTCGGCAGACCGGACTGTCTACAAGCTTTAGTCTATGTAGATGTTTCTTAAAGTGACAGTGTCCCGTTATGAGTCCTGTCACTCTCCTGAGCCGGATTCTGTTCAAGCTCAGTAACTCAATCGCTCTTCCATTCGAAGGATACTCCATAAGCTCCTTGGAATGGCTATGTCCTGGCCTTGAAGTCCAGTATTTCCTATGTTCTGTCTCCGTCCATTTGCCCACAGCTCGCCTGACCACACTGGGAGATGTGCCACAGAAGGGCTCCGGGCCAATGAACACTGTTTCGGATCCCTTCCTCGCAAGTTCATCCGCTTTCTCATTTCCACAAATGCCTTTGTGCCCTGGCACCCAACACAGTCTGACTGTATTGTTGGTGGCCAGTTCAGTTAGCATTTGTAAACAGTCCCACACCAGTTTTGAACTTACCTTGTGTGCGGCTAAAGCTTTAATTGCAGCTTGACTATCAGAGAATATATATATGAGTTTACGTCTATAACCTCTACGTACATTCTCTGCCAGACACGCCATTATTGCGAAGATTTCTGCTTGGAATACAGTAGGGAACTCCCCCAGACTGTAGCTTGCACTTCATCTGGGTCTGAGTCCATATATTCCTGCACCCGTCCCTCTGGTCATTTTGGAGCCATCTGTAAACCATACTAGGCTCCACCTTTCCAGGGTATTAAACCTTTCCTCCCACTGGCTTTGATCCTCTATTCGAGTCTCAAATGGCTTGTGGAAGTGAAACTTTGGAACCATCTTGTCGGATACCATCTCAAGAATTGGTTCCGACATAGATGTATCTTTGATCCTGGAGTGGGAACCACCCCTCCAGTCATTATTATTCCTGAGTCGATATGCTGCTAACCGCGCTTCTCTCTCCACCACTATATGCAGCGGTGGCAGATTTAGCATGACTTCTAGTGCAGCTGTCGGGGTCGATGCCATCGCCCCCGTTATACCTAAACAGGCCAATCTCTGAATTCTATTCAGTTTTTCCTTCGCTGTGGTCTGTTGTGTTTTCTGCCACCATACCACCGCGCCGTAAAGAATCCTGGGTCTTACTATCGACGTATACAACCAGTGTAACATCTTTGGTTTCAGTCCCCAGGTTTTCCCAATAAGGCGGCGGCATACACACAGTGTCTGCTTCGCCTTACTCACCACTTTTTCCAAGTGCGCATTCCAGGTAAGCTTATTATCCAGTATCACTCCTAGATATTTTACTTCCCTGGAAAATGTAATGCCCCTCTCCCCTATTATAGGTTCAGAGAGTCCAGTTAAATTTCTTCTCCTAGTGAAGGGTACTACGACCGTTTTGTCAGGGTTTACTGACAGTGCCTGCCCCTTACACCAGTCATCTATCCATTTCAAAGCCTCTTTCATGAGTTCTGAAACGATAATATTATGTTTCCCGACTATGAGAACGACCAAGTCATCCGCATAGCCTTGTGTATAAAACCCCTTTCGATTAAGGCCCTCCAGTGCGCCGTCCACCACTAATCCCCATAACAAGGGAGACAGTACGCCTCCCTGGGGGCAGCCCCGGCCTACCTTACACCTGGATGTCTCTCCCGAAAGGGTAGCTGTTACTGTCCGGTTTCTCAACATGGTATCTATCCAACGACACAAAGTGTCTTCAAGGCCCCTGTTGCGAACTGCCGAATTAATAGATTCGAAAGGTGTATTGTCAAATACCCCTTCAATATCTAAAAAAGCTGCCAAAGCTAGATCTTTGTCGTCCATTGCCCTCTCTATCCTAGAGACTAGGCTATGAAGGGCTGTGTCGACTGATCTGCCTGCCTGATAGGCATATTGGTACCTGTGCAGAGGATTTGCCCTCAATACCCCGTCCCTTATATGCCTGTCAACTATTCTCTCCAACGTTTTCAGGAGGAAAGATGTTAAACTTATCGGGCGATATGCCTTTGCCTGGGCATACGATGGACGCCCTGGTTTAGGAATAAACGCCACGTTCGTCGATCTCCATGCCAGCGGTATATAACCAAGTGCAATGCTGGCTCTGAAGACGTGAATTAAGACCGGAGCTAGACAGTCCACCCCCTGCTGTAGCAGTACAGGTAGGATTCCATCGGCTCCTGGTGATTTAAATGGGTCAAAAGAACTTATTGCCCATCTTATTCGTGACTGACTCACCACCGTCTTGGCAACCTCCCAGTTCTGTCGAGACCCGGTCGTTACCCTCTGCTGGTGATTCCAGTCATATTCATCTCCATGTTTTAATAACCTGGAGCCTGGAAAGTGAGTATTTAGAAGTAATTCCAATGTCTCCCTTCCAGTTTTGGTATATTCCCCACTCGGTGCTTTGAGAGACCCGAGTTTTGTATGTCCGTTCTTAGAGAGAAGTCTCTGGAGTTTAGCACACTGTGGGACACTATCAATATCCTCACAGAACTTCCTCCATGAGTCTCTCTTCGCTTTTCTAATTTCTTTATTATACTCAGTGAGGGTTGCTCTATAAGTCTCCCACTCTCCTGTCCGCTTTGCTCTATTAAATAGTTTTCTTGTCTGTCCCCTCAACTGCGTGAGTTCCTTGCTCCACCAGGGTACGGTGTGCTTATCGGACCTCACTTTGATAGGACAGCTGTATTCATATGATCTTGTGACGGCGTTTTGGAGTTCCTCCACGGCCCTCTCAAGATCATATGTGTTACTTAGTTTTGTACAGATTTCCCTAGTCCTGGCCTGTAACTCCGTTCTATAGGAGTCCCAGTCAGTTCTTTTTGGGTCTCTGTAGGTTCTTACTTGCGGATTATAATCCGTTATAATTTCAAAGTGGATATGTCTATGATCCGACATTGACGGCTCATTCGACACATGCCACCTCGCAATATTATTACATATCGGTCCCGATCCCACTGTTATATCGATGACTTCACTTCTGTTTTTTATAACAAAGGTGGGCTCGTTCCCGACATTCAAAATCTCTAGATTATAACTAAAAAGAAAATCTAGTAAAGACTCACCTCGATCGTTGACATCGCTGCTTCCCCACACCGTATGGTGTGAGTTAGCATCACATCCCACGATGAGTTGTTTCTTCTCCTTCTCGCACCAGGCCACCAGGTCCCTCAGTTCCCTGGTTGGAGGAGATTCTTTCTTATCGTAAGGGAGGTACGCTGAGCAAACTACCAGTTGTCTCTGCGTTCCCTCCGATACATAAGTCACTTCGGCCGCCACCAGGTCATCCGTGCAGAACCCTGGAAGAGGAAAAATATTAATACTACTCTTGTAATAAATACAAGCTCTAGGTCTAGTTTGGTGGCCACAATACAGTAAGCCACCATTACTTACCTGCAATCCTCTGATCCGGGATCCATGTACCCAAGGCTCCTGGATCAAAGCTAAATCCGCATTTACGCGCGCCACACTGGCACAGAGAGCAGCAGATGCCGCTCTACTGTGCTGAATGTTCGCTTGTATTACCTGGAATTTGACCAGATAATACAGATTTTGGTCCCTCCTGATCTTCATCAGAAGGTCCCAAATCTACCCTGCCCTTCTCCAGGTTCCTAAAAAGGACCCTGGTGAAGTTCAGAAATGGTCTGAAGCCCTCCTTCTGAAGTACCTTCACACTCATCTCATCTACTGAGAGGACTAGGGTCTGGCCCTTCACCTCAACCTTGCGGTTGATTAGCCTCCAGGCCCCCGTCCTCAATTCCCCGTTCTGGTTTTCCAGACGGCGCATGATGGTTTCCGGTTCATCAGGATGACCCGGAATCCACACGATGAACTTAGTGAACTTAGGTAGGTCCCTAGGCTCAACAGCGCTGAGTCTAGCCCCCTCCCAAGGCACCAAGCTCGCCGTGGTCATCTTCAGCCATTGCAGGCTCTCCTCGTTGAAGGCGGTGATCGCTAGCGTTCCCCCCCTTCGACGACACTCCAGGAAGCGCGGTCGTGTACCCTCGCCCGCGATCCCATCAATGGCCCCCAGAAGCGCCGACTGGACAAGTCCCATCTGGTCCTCATCCATTCGGACCTCCGGGTATCCATGGGGGACCACCACTGCTTGGATCCCCGACAGCGCCTCCCCGTAAGTCTTGCCACGCTGTCCCGTGGCCTTAGGCCTCTTGGAAACAGGCCGGTCGGAAATCGGCTCACTACCGTCCGACCGTCCACGTTTCTTCCCGAGTCCACTTGGCCCCGGTTCAGCAGCCTGCGGAGTTAGAGTGGTACTTGAGCCAGGTTCCGTCACCGGCCCCTGTCCTTTTCCCGCCTCTGCCTTCCGCAGTTTTTTAAGTTTGCGCTTTTGCGCACCAGACAATTTCTTCCTACCTTCCAGGTTCAGTCTGTCGACTCCCCTAGAGATAGTAGTCACTGGTGTTTGCTTCCCAGTGGCTGTTTTATTTTCCGCCTGGTCAGCAATTACTGCTTCCCCGGCGGATGTTGACGGCCCCCTTTCGGGTTCCCGTTTTTTTGATTTATGGTCCATAAAGGTCCCACGAGTCTGGAGGAAATAAAAGTCACCGCCAGGTAGTGCCCCATGCCTGACGGAAGGCTAAATACGATGGGGTGCGCCAGGTTCCCCAAAGAGATCGTTTGCGATGCGACATTTTTACCTACCCCCGCACCATTCAGCCCTCGGCACGATGCGTTTCCACCTTGGCTTGGGTAGCTGAGCTGTTTCTTAGTTTTCACTACTCTCCCTCGACCTTCCCGGCTTGGGTGACCCTGCCAGGAGTATAAAACTCCCGCCGGTTTAGCTCTTGGGTTCACTGTAGCTACTTAAGCCCCTCCACCAGCGACAAGGTCATACAGCTCCCAGGAGGGGCTGATATTCACTAGTATAATACCAGGAATAATGATGATTTTTTTGCGGACTTTTCCAGAAATTGTATCACTCAAAATAATAAATTGAATATTTCATTATATAACGTCATTTTAGGGGTTTTAACGTGGATGTAGATAAATTAAGTTTTAACGTGTTCCATAAATTGTGTACTTTTTATTGATTAACTGTTTTCATAGTGTTAGAGACTTTTTAGAAATTAATGCGTACTTTGTACGTAGAAACGGTCAATAAATACTTATTTACTTACTTACTTACTAAAATTGGTAAGATTTTTATTTCAGGGTAGTTTATTAAATTAGTAATACGTTACAGAAAATTTTATAGAAAACCTGACAAAAAAAAATGGAATACAAAGTCAAAAGAATGCATTTACAGTATCCTACATTGTGACTGTAATAAAAGTTGTGTTGACAAAATTTTTCAATTTAAAATAGGAGAAAGACTATATTAGAAAAGGAGAATTTAATAAATCAAAAATTTGCGAACGGGCAAGGAAAAATATTGATGTTCAACGCAATAACAAGAACAAGAAAACTAAAACACACTGAGTTTATTTTGCTGAACGGTGATTAATCTGTTTTAAATCATTGATAAATTTTGATAGATAATTGTTATGTCCTCATCGACAATTTCTATTTTGGTTGTGTGTCCAAAATCTCATTATTTTTTAAAATAAATAATATTTCTAGAATGTTCTAGCGTGGGACTTAAATATTTAATAATTATTTCATTAAGTTGCCATCTTGTTATTATATGTTTACCTAATTTGTTGACTCATCCACATCAAAAATACCTGCAAATAAATAAATATGTATAATTTTTAATAGCATAATAAGTAAATTAAACTTAAGCGAAATAATAAAGAACACTCAAAAATATGCATGAATGTATTATTAATATTGCATATAATTATAATTTCGTCTTACTTATATCCCCTAGAATACTTAACTTCAGGTCTTATGTAAATTTAACAAAATTTACATTCCGCACCCATTTCAGCGGACATCTTAGGTTAGTACATTCCATCAGATAGCCATAATTTAACTGTTCCTATCTCAACCAACAAACTCTGGAGCATGCAGCTGCGAATAGCAGGGGAGGAATAACATCTTAATGATTAAATATGAACTCTCTTGAAGTTCCACGACCTCCGCAGCCAGAAAATAAATATGCAGCCTTAGCTTCCATCATCTTTCTCACTTAATTTAGAAAATCAGAGTAACTCATAAAAGGAAATTATGAAATTTAGAGCACAACGAAATTAGTTCAAATGAGATTCAAATAAATTTAAATTACTTTTTAAAACAACATATTGCATTGAGTATGGTTTACAGTTTCATTATATGTAGATAATACCAGCGCATTCGCCATAATTCAAAATATGAAATTTCATCAAAATGTATCTAAAACTTAAACATTTCTATATTTAAATTGTTTCCATCAATTTTTTTTCGTAAGTGGGATGTTTAATCGACAAATTAGAACACATTCATCTACGTAATAAAATAATCTCGAACGAGATCGGATATGCTCCTTGACATCAAATATCTGTTTGCTATGAAAATAGCTTCATAAGCAAGCTAGTCCTAATTAACATTATATCGAAGACCTATACAAAATGACTCTTACTCTAACCACATCTGTGGATGGTCTCCTTAATAGCTAGATTATTCATCTCTTATCTAGATCCACTATGACCAGTTAGTCTCATCAATATCCTAATCGATCAATAGTTTAAATAGTTAATAAGTTTGGTAACTTTTTTATGTAAAACTTAAGTAGTTTGTATAAACTTTTCAAATTGAATAAAATGCTTTGGTTCGAGTGCGGGTGTGAACGATAACGCAGAGGGAGGCTAGCCCAGTCCACAGTAAGGAGCGTGGGGGGAGGTAATAGACTCATCCAATGCAGACGTTAGTTATAGATTCTGCAGACTGTGACTATTATAATATGGAGAACTCTAAGTATACAGGGTGTCCGTTAAAGAATGGGCTTAATTTTACCACGAAAATGCGACGAATGTTTATGGGGAAAGGTCATATACAATGTTACTGATAACCTTTTAGTTTTCAAGATACAGGGTGCTGAAGTTGAAAAAATAAATAACATTTTCTTTAATATAATTCAACCACTTCGACCTAATTTCGTGAAATTTCGTATCTGGGATTTATTGAGATGATAAATTCAAATTTATCGACGATTTCGTTGTATCTTCTAAAATGCGCCACAAGCGACCATTAGGACGCATATAAACTGCCAAAACTTTTTTGTGTATTTCACTTTGGACAGGAACCCCCAACTTTTCTGCTTGAGGTGAGTTTAATTTTGTAATTTCCAAGATAATCTCATTTAGTCCGATAAATAGAAATGGACATTACACATTTTACAAATAGTCTTCGCTATTTACTAGATATTGTGGGTGTTATTCAATGCAAGTCGTGACCAAAGTTCGCAGACTAGTTGTTTCCTATAACATAATTCTTGAGAAAATATGTGACTTCATTTTAGGAACGAAATGAATAAAATGGAAACACCCATTTACACGAAATTGTTTATATTTGAGCAGCGGTACATGTAATATTAAAAGGAAAAAATGTAACTTTTTAGTTTTTTATAGAGGCATTGAAATTTCTCAATTTTTTCTGAGTATTACGGACAGCATGCAAAATTATCAATAATTTGAATGATATTAATTTATAGCCTCGTTTAAAATTGTAAAAATAATAACAGCTTGAAATTAGAATTTTCAAATCGAATAAATTAGAATTTATACTTAAAGTAACAACTGTAGAATGTTGATTTTTGTGAAATTTTTGAATAAATTTAACAATTAATATATCAAATTTCGAAAATCTATACTATCTTCAATTGAGTTAAATTTTTACATATATTGCATATAGAATTATAATAATTATACATAAAGATACACTTTTCGGTGCCATCCGTCATATATGAGAGAATCCATGTCTCATAGCATAATATTTATTTGTAAAAACTATTGTCTCATGGCTATGATAAAATATTGAGTGCATTTGAAGATAAATTTTCTACTTCGTACCTCTTTTTTTCAATTTTTTGTTCATCTTAAAGCACTTAAACTAAATTTCGAAAGAATACGGGGTTCGGAGTTCGAATTTACATTTAATAGTGTCTATATATCACAAAAGATATATTCTACATATTTTGGTTTCTGTTTATCGCAGCTCCAGCATATTACATTATTCGAATTACTTCTTGCTCATCTCTATCGTCTGGTTGCATTCGTGTGTAACATAAAGGAATCATACAGCTGTCTTCTATCAGCCCAATACGCTATATCAAAACTAGTGCTTCAAATCAATTTGCCTCTGGTAAATGGAAATGTTTGCGTGAACTGATAGTTGACAGTCTGGCGCCGCATAGTTTGGAATTTCACATTTAATTTGCAAATATCCGAAATTGCGCTTTGTATGGAAATCTTCATATCGCATAATTCGATTTATCCAACTACAGAAATTGGTAATAAATTTAAATATATCATTGGCAACACCGAACTGAATTGAAATGTTTAACTAGCATGGACTGTTAAAATGGTAGTAAAATCGATTTTCTCATTTCAGTAGCAGTTTACGACTAATTTTATGTAGCGCGTGGAAATTTGAAATTCTAGAAATCTAGAAAAACAAAAAGAAAATAAAAAACAATCGATATTTCTATCATTTTACTCGAGAATATACATAAAACTCACTCAAAAATAAAATTTGCATCCCAAAATGACGAAAACATGTTTTTCTTTTTCAGTTACGCTTCATAAGTGTTTAGGCAAGTTTAAGCGGCATTCCTTATATATATACGTCACAGATTTGATTTTATTCACGTAATATGAAAAAAAGAATTGTTTTAATGTCTTCATATGTTCAGAAAATATTTTGACTCTTTATAGTGTCACTCTCTGTATTTATTACATACAAAATTTCTGGTCGTAATACTGAACACTTAATAGATATATTTTTAATATAAAGTGCCACTCAAACCTTAATTTTCAGTTCTCCTAAATTATTTGAGATGCAAATATTTCCGTGAATATTTAATATTTTAAAAGTAAAAAGCGGGGCTGCTATTCTAATCTAAAATAAGGCGCTTCAATCATTTTGAACTGTCTCATCATCGGAAACTTTTTCAAGCCAAAATAATAAGGAATTATAGCATGCTAATGAGATATATTGATTTATGTAATTCTACTTTTTCGGAGATGTTTCTTCCAACATAGATTTATTACAAATAATACACACGCGATATACTGCAGACCGACTGTTTAAATCGAAATAGTCAATTCATATACATATATTATAATTTTTTTGAACTTAACTTGCTGCTACAAACTTTGGAGATTATCGGTTGAATATAAAATGTAACCATTTATTTATTTACCTACGCCTAGCAGTATTACAAATATATGCTCAATACTATGTAGATTATAATATGGGAAGAGTCATTTAAATTTTGATCAGTTTATTTTTTACTACTTTTCTAATTAGTGACACTGTGGGAAACAACTACTCTAGGGATTAGCATTAAATTGCATCCGAACTATCTAATAAACAAATAAATTATTTGTTTATGAGTAGAACCATCAGATATACAGGGTGTCCCACTAAGATCGGCGAGATACGATATTAGAGAAAGTATAGACCTTAGAGCTTCGGGAAAATAATTCTGATTAATAAATATTTATGAAGACTGAATATAGGTGGCTTTCTTTCATTGAAATTCCATATGAACCATCATTTTCAATAATCTCTTTAAGTATCAAATGGTGACCTTTTTGCAATATAAATACTAACTATACTTAAGTTCAACATTTATAATGTATTGTAGCTTCTTATATAACTTCAGGCGTGTTGAATTGACAGACTGACAGCAACAACAGTTCGCTTACACTAAAATCAAATTCAAAATTCGTCGTTAAAACAGTCGTTATACTTGGA